TGTGTGTGTCTGTGTGTGTGTCTGTGTGTGTCTGTGTGTGTTTGTGTGTGTGTGCAGACAGAGCCTCCTCTCAACACTCCAGAGAACAGGGAGTACTTGGCTGAGATCATGTTTGAGACCTTCAACATACCTGGACTCTACATCGCAGTACAGGTGAGACGCGCTGATATCCTTAAACAGCTTCCAGGACATTCCAGAATCCTGGGGAAGGTTCCAGTACCCTGTGGCGTAAAGTACGTCTCTCCATCAGGCGGTGCTGGCGTTGGCGGCGTCCTGGACATCCCGGCAGGTGGGACAGAGGACTCTGACCGGCATCGTCATTGACAGCGGAGACGGCGTCACACACGCCATCCCCGTGGTGAGAAACACACCCACCTGAAACAGAGGGGGCGGGGTTTGAGCCTCTCTGCTGACTGACCGGTCGGCTCATGTGTCACAGGCTGAGGGCTACGTGATTGGCAGCTGTATAAAACACATCCCCATAGCAGGGCGGGACATCACCTTCTTCATCCAGCAGCTTCTTAGAGACCGAGAGGTGGGGATCCCACCGGAGCAGTCTCTGGAGACCGCCAAGGCCGTGAAGGTACCACAGTGCTCCTCCACTGCTGTCCTTCTGTCTGTACTTCTGTGTACTTTAGTGTGTATTTGTGTGTACTTATGAGTGTAGGAGCGATACTGTTACATCTGTCCGGACATCGTGAAGGAGTTCACAAAGTATGACTCTGACCCAGGAAAGTGGATCAAACAGTACCGAGGAGTCAACGCCATCAGTAAGACCGCCTTCCACATTGACGTGGGCTACGAACGCTTCCTAGGCCCTGAGATCTTCTTCCACCCCGAGGTTACAACAAAGTCTTTTTTTATTTACATTTTGCTCCAATCTATTTTCATTCAGTCAACAAAAATGAATAAAAGTAACAAATTAACTGAGCTTCATATAGTTTGAAAATGTAAAGGCTCAAGAACAGAACCCTGAGGAACCCCGCAGCTGCTCTGTTCTAATGCCTGCACATGCTGATAAAAACAAAAGAGCATAAATAATAATACCTGACATGTGAATGTGTGCTTTCCAGTTTGCTAATCCAGACTTCATGCAGCCTATCTCTGATGTCGTTGATGAGGTCATCCAGAGCTGTCCAATTGATGTGCGCAGACCGCTCTACAAGGTAATTCACAAGGGTGTAATTGTTACAAACGCACACGTGGTTGTTATATCTCTTCGCGTATTTGTGTAAAAACCACTGTGAGTTTTGGATGATAGCATTCGTAGTTCTAAAAACTCTTTGAGTAAGAGTGAAGACATCATTTTGTCTGAGACCTGCAGAGGGCAGTTCAAGGGTTTGGTTAGAATACGGGTCAGGTTTGGCACAGGCCGCGTTGCAGAACCTAAAAAAATGTATTAAAGTGAATTTCACATTAAAAGCATCACATAAATAACCAAACTAAAAGAAAAACAAATGGAGAAGAACTTTACACTGAAGAAGTGTATTTGTTGTGAATGACTGAGGCTGAGGGTTTGCTGAAGCTGTGTGAGTCTTCTGTGTCCAACAGAACATCGTGCTGTCTGGAGGTTCCACCATGTTCAGAGACTTTGGCCGGCGGCTGCAGAGGGACCTGAAGAGGGTGGTGGACGCTCGGCTGAAGCTGAGTGAAGAGCTGAGCGGAGGACGGATAAAGGTGAGCCTGACCAGCGAGTGCAGGCCGATCCAGACCTTTATGACCTGAACACATCTGGAAGAAGAGGTTTTTAACATTGGTCAGCTTCAGGTAAAGCTTTTCTTTGTTTGTGTGGAACTTTTCAGTCAAAAGGCTGAAACTGGTCCCCACTGAGCTCCTCCACAGTCCAGATCAGTGCTGGTCCCATGGTGGTCCCAGCTGGAATCACCTTCCTATTAATAGCAGAGGTGGGAATTAACAAAGTGCAAATACCTTGTACTTAAGTAGAATTTTCAGCTGAGTACTTTCTACTCCTTACATTTTCGAACAGGATCATTACTTTAGGTTTATCTGTAGTTTATACTCTGGGTTTAAAGTGGAGTGCAGGTTTCCGTATGTTTAGCATTTAGCTAGCCCTACTGAAGAGGAGCGAGCAAAACTTTTGTACTGTCAGGTAATTTGAAATGCAGCTAACAAACATCAGCAAACACACAAACTGTCTGTGTGCAGTTTATCTCACAGTGTGCTAAAGGTCCAGCTGCTTGTTTCACTGGGAGAGAAAAGACAGAGAGCTAAGTTCATTCAGAGATGGAGAAAGATAAGAAAGAAGGACAGGAGAGGAAGAAGAGAGCTTAGAGTTAAGAAGAAGAAGAAGAAGAAGGTGTACTTTATTGGTCCCCGTGGGGAAAATCGCTCTCTGCATTTAACCCATTCACTCAGTGAAGTAGTGGGCAGCCACTGGGCGCCCGGGGAGCAGTGTGTAGGGACGGTACCTTGCTCAGGGGTACCTCAGGGTAGCTGTTCAGGGGAATCTAACCCCCGACCTTCCGATCATGGGGCCACCACTCTACCTACTGAGCTATCCCTGCCCTTAAAGGGAAGGGTGCTCATTTAAAGCTCACATAGAAGTCCTCATGTTGTTAAACCTGCTGAGGCAGACTAACTGTGTTATTTAAAGGCTGCAGGTTAGTGCAGCATAAACAGGTGAGTTTGTACTGTGATGGCTTTAAAGTAAAGACCAGCGTGTGACTGCTGCACAGTGACTGTCTTATATAAAGATAGCATAAACTGTCAGTGTAGAGGATGAAATCAACCAGGACAACTCAGGAAACATCTGCTCACATCTGGTTGAATCCAGGTGTGTACGTCCACAGAGGGCAGCAGATCAGCTGATCACAGCCTGCACACTAAGAACATCTACTGGAGCTCTCAGTAGAAATGATTGTGAGTTTGGTTCTTTTCCCCACACTGAGCCATGACAGCTGACTTTAGGTCCCCCACCTGCTGAATCCACTTCACCCTCTGACTGTGCTTGTGTTCCTGGTTAGAAACAAAGTCCTTCCCTCTACAACGGAGGCAACAGAAAAAATAAATATATTTTTATTTTCCCTCCTGCTCATCTTATACTTACCTGACTCAAGCTGAGTACATTTATTAGAATTAAAATTCAGGTTAAAATTATTACATTAATAAAAAATGTGGTAGAAATGTTCTTCAAGGAACTTTCTTCCTCTGAGTACGTTTCAGAGCCGTTACTTTTCACTTTTATTTGAGTAAAGAATTTGAATCAGTACTTGAACTTACAGGAGTATTTTTTAACAGTAGGTTCTGTACTTGTACTTGTCTGTAGTTTTGCCACCTGTGATTAATAGTCACCAGATCCTGGTGCAGCTGATAACAGCACAGAGCAGAGTTAAGCTTTAATGTTACAGCCTTTACCTGTATTGCATTTAACTGGATCACTGGTTTGTTCCCAGTTTCTTTGTGATGTGAATCATTTATATGCAGATGACGTGTTTTTGTGTGTTGGCAGCCAAAGCCGATGGAGGTTCAGGTCGTCTCACATCACATGCAGCGTTACGCCGTCTGGTTCGGAGGCTCTATGTTGGCGTCCACGGTAACCAAAAGTTTTGTGTTCTTCTACTTTCACACAAAGCATTTCCCTAAACAACATGTGGCTGGAGGAAATGAGCCTGCTCAGTAAACTCTTTCCTGACGAGTTTATGGTTTCAGGTCTTAATGAATAAAATATGCATTCAGTTTATAACTGATGGCCCGTCTGGAGAGACCAGGAACCTTTGTTGACACTGTGTGTTGTTGTGTTTGCAGCCGGAGTTTTTCCAGGTGTGTCACTCGAAGAAGGACTACGACGAGATCGGGCCGAGCATCTGTCGACACAACCCCGTGTTTGGCATCATGTCCTGATGACAGCGGCGAGCCCATCGGCCCGCTAACCTGTTAGCCTGCTAGCAACCAGCCACTCAGCCATTAGCCTGATAGTTTTTTGCCCTTCTCAGTTTTCACCTATGAAGCTGCTAACCTGTTAGCGGGCTAGCTCAGTATCATCAAGCACATGGAGAACATGAAGCACAAAGGCAGTTAGAGAGCACGACAAAGTTTGCAGTGGTTTTGTTTTGATAAATTTACTCCACAGAGAAAAAAACGTCTTCAAGCAACTTAAAGAAGTCCAGACGCTTTTCTTTGCAAGCTCCTTTGTCCACAGAGAAGAATTTTACCGAGAACAAGAGGAGCTGCAGGAGACCTGGTGTAGCTAGCCAACCTTCTTCCAACACGTAGCAGTGCTAATAGAGATCCTCCGAAGCTGAGGCTGTTGTCCCGACAGCAGATAGAGATAAATATGGCGCCTGCTCGCCTCTCATCCTCATTTCGACCTCTTATCAAACACAAGCCGCCGCTCTGTGCTGAAGCTGGCGACGGTGGATTTAACAGGACAAGCCTCTGGATGTTTTCTGTCACTCGGCATTTATGTCAGCATGTTTGTGGCCCTGCTATCCGATTGTTCAGTCTGACGTCACTAGCCGTGTCTGGGTCTAAACTCTGCTGCAGCTCCATATATCAAACGATCACTCAGCATTACTGAGAGTTGAAAAACTGTCTAAAGTCTTTCATCTTTAATAAAATGATCAGCGTTCTGCTCTACCAGGTGTAACAATTGAGTTTAACATCCAGGCATCCATGAAAACGGAATTTATGACATTTAACGGAGTTAGAAGTTAGCAGGAAGTTAGCTCGCTAGCTTCTATATAAATACAATATAGCATGTCCTGACTGCGGGGTTTTGGAAACAAATTAAAACGTACAGCTCTGTTATCACTTCCAACATAA